ACAACAAATAATTCCAGGGTAAACTCCATGTGTAGGATGGAGACATAGTGTTAAGCAACAAAGTGTAAGTGGATGAGTGCATCGTCCAACCGTCTTTTAAATATTGTTAGTGTCGGTGCAGAGACGACCGATTCTGGGAGAGCATTCCATGAGTGACAGACACGAATTGAAAAGAAATTTCTCCGGCACTTCAGACGACTGTATTGTTCTGCGAGTTTTAATGAGTGGCCCCTCAGGTTTGTATTGCTGCTGAGTTGCAGTAAAGGGCGGCACACATGATGTGGGTCTTGCAGAATCAAGTATGCCATAATCAGGTCGCCTCGTAGTCTGCGATAGCTTACACTGAACAATCCCAGTCGTTTCAGCCTCTTCTGGTAGGAAAGATTGTGCATTCCAATTACGTTCTTAGATGCCCGGCGTTGTGGCTGCTCCAGTGCATTAAGGTCGTGTTTCATCCATGGATGCCAGGCTTGAATTGCGTATTCGACACGGGGGCGGACATACTCACTGAGCATTTGTCGAAATATGGAGCTGTTTATTTGTCCAAACGCCCGCCTCAACAGCCCGACGTGTTGGTTCCCGGTCTTCGAGGCCTTTATCGGGTTGCCTGGAGCAACCCAAGTCATCTTGAACCAGGACACCCAAGTCACGTTCGAGAGTTGATTGTTGCAGTACATCCGTTTCGAGTCGGTATGAGTAGATGCTTTGATGTCGGATGGAAAGCACCTTGAATTTACTGACGTTGAAATGCAAAAGATTTTGGGTCTACCATTGATACACCGTATCTAAGTCACTTTGGAGCACAAGTTGGTCGGCGTTCGCCTGGATCCTGCGCCGGATCTTGATATCGTCGGCAAACATTAGGAAGTTTGAAGCGATTCCCTGTGCAAGGTCATTAATGAACACCAAAAACAAACGTGGACCTAGAACCGAGCCTTGCGGCACACCACACTCGACTTTTATGGGGTCCGATAAAGAGCTCCGAACTCTGACCACTAATTGCTGTTGAAATAGAAAGTTGGCGATCCAGCTTAAAAGAGGGTCTCCGATCCCGTAATGCTGCAGCTTGGATAGTAGTATCCGATGGTCTAGACGATCGAAAGCCTTGGAAAAATCCAGGTAGATCACATCAACACCTTCTCCAGCTTCGGCTGCCTCGGTCCAACTACTGCGTGCAATTAGTAACTTTGTTGTACATGACCGCTGTCGACGGAAACCGTGCTGTTCAGGGGTGGTGATGTTACAGTTTTCCAGATAACACACCAGTGCATCGGCAACTATGGATTCTATGACCTTGGAGAGTATAGGAAGAAGGGTTACTGGGCGGTAGTTGGAGGGATCAGTTCTACTTCTACCTTTGTGGATCGGGCTTATTATTCCAAGCTTCCACATGGCGGGAACTAGCTTCTACATGGCGGGAACTAGCTTCCACATGGCCTTATAGTTTCGGGATTGTCTAACTCGAACTAACTTTTGGACTATTGTGTTAGATAGCTTGAAACAGTTGACCATGAAATATTTGTAGTTACTCTGACTTTCCGAGATCACAGGGTATTGACATTTAGTGATGCTCTCAAATAACCATGAGGACATAGCCTATGTAAGGTTTTCGTGTACCCCAAATGTGAAGTTTAAACGGCATTGTATTTCAAGTTTAATAAAATCGTTTAAGACCGTAAAGCTCATCAGAAAAGTACTCTCGTCCACTGTTATGATTTGAAGAAGTAAAGCAGACGTTTAAACTAAATTTGCAGTGTCCTCGTCTAATATAGGTAGCTATGAATACGCTGATATCGGTCATCTAACTTGAATTAATGAAGCAAGTAAGTCTACAAGCAATTGCGTCAGTGGACAAAATCCTCATTTATTTCTTGCATAATCGTTGTGTTTCATCTTTGTTACCTGTCTTCTCCGGCACAAGACCACCGATAGTACGTTCTTTAGCAGCGAGCCGTTTTGTTGCATTATATTCACATCCAGCTGCTTGGCATTCGCCATCGGTCAAACTATCCTGGATTCATTCCGACCACATCAGCGATGGTTACAAATGACTCGTCATTCGGGTTCCGGATGAGTAATCTCGGACTTGTAGCACGATGTTAATCACAGAATAGATTACACTTACGTGGTACCCACAGTTTTTTCGTAAATGAAAACTCCTTTCTGCATACTTACAATTTGCGTACCATAATTGCAGCCCGTGATTTAGGAATTTCGGGACGAGTTTGTATGAGCGGCAAATGATATTATTCTCAGTGGCTGCTGTTAGGACATTATAACCTCTTTTATGGCGGGTCTCAATTGGTGTGTGAACGGAAGTTTAAAAGCTCCATGATTTAAAGTGATCACATAAATTGGTACTGTGATTTCTGCAGCACAATCTCCACGTAAAAGGTAATACCGCAGAATTTGGTTGCCATATCACTGAACTCACAGTTTAGGTGTTTATATATAAATGTAACGTCAACGGTGGCCAAATCGTCGAGCAGTTTCGTGACATCCAACAGGCAAATGCAGCTTTTTGGAGCGGCATACAATTGTACAGTCAATTTTCGTGATGGGACTGTATTTTAACGTGCCCGGTTGGTTAGCGTCACGATCCCCTGAACTGTGCTGGGTGCTGCTACTTATACTTCCAAAGTCACCGATGCTAGAGCAGGCTATGTTTTCAATCCAGACAACGTCAGACCCCTAGTTGGGCAGTAAATGCAATTCCTTGTTCCTCGTAACTAACTCCCCTTTTAGCTAAAGATCAAACTCCCTCCGTTTTACGGTAAAGTACTTAAACGGGAGGCACTGACTAAAATTCTAATCTTCCTCCTGTATATACATGGCAAGTCTGACAATATCTTGCCGATGCAGTAGATTAAAAGCTCCCTCAAGCAATTTCCTGATGCTCCTGGCATCGCAGTGGATGAACCAGTGAGTCTTATTTGTTGCGTCGAATGAGGTAGGTGGAACCGAGTATGATACTGCTCAAGCGTCCCGTCTCCTCATTCACCTTTAACGCTCTTTCTTCCTCTCGTTTTGTTTTACCTTTAACTTCATCCATCCCACAAGCTCTTAATTTTGGTTATTTCCTCTCTTGCGTTAACGACGGATGGTCTTTACTTTCTATTCAGACAGCGTCACTCTGGCTTTGTTAAATGGTCCACCTTCTAGTAAGCCCGCAGATTTCCCGGAATAGTGACCGCATAGCCTGGATGGAAGTAAGAAAATACCACTGGTCTTTTTATCCCTCGATACTTGTTCCGCCCTCATAACTGAAACGAAGAACATGATGTTGGGGGAAAGTGAATTCATATGCGAGGAGAAGCGACATTTGATACTTGAAGACTAACCACAGTTAACTGTACGAGCAGTAATCTGCATGGTATTGATGGATGGATCGGGATATATCGCATTTAGATTACGATCCATGATGGTCAACTATCGTGCCCCCATGACAGTGGTATAAACTATTGGCTAGTGGTGCAAGCCACTAGCAGTCATGAGTTCGGTTCCTGAAGGGGACCAAGAGAACGCGCACCACTAACGAGCCCTGCTGGTGCGAAACGATTGTGGTGTTTTTCCGAACTGGTACTTCACCTAGCTGGCTTATAATCTAATTTATATGAAGGAAATAAATCTCACCAAGTTCCACTACTCAAAAGTATCCACGAGTTGTCAACACGCCTGATATCTTAGAGCGGACACTTTGCGAAGCAGTTTAATCGTCCACAAAAAGACCAGCTTCCTGGTCAGCCAGAACACACCTTTCCCTCATGGCAGTTCTTTTCGTTCCTGTCTTCCTCGCAGATGCCGAAATTATGAGCAGACATTTGCAAGTGAGTAAGGATAAAAGATCTAGACGGACTTTCTCGAACTCTTCAAATTTGGGTACCAGCTAATGTGGAACATCTGCATGACTTTATAGTAAAGCTGTGGGTGCAGAACACCATCCCTACCGACTGCAGCTGCTCGGTTAAGTCTAGAATTTTATTCGGAATTCATGTTTAGTGCATGACAACCATTAAGTGCTGAGTGTGGTCTCCACCGTCTCTCTCTCTCTCTGTTTAGTGCCCCTGTCCATACTCTTCAACTGAATATCATCCGTAAAAGCCGAAATTGTGTAGAGCTAGCTGTGTTTGTTGGATCAGAGATCCTGTTGGTAGCCGTTGGAACACTGCCCAATATATCGGTCGCCAAGCCTGTTTTTGTTCCTTAACCTTATAGATACTGCCAACTGCACGGGTGAATATTTTATTTTGCGTTGACTGATCATGAAAGCTTCGAACGGGATTTATGCGTAAATTATAAAGCTACATTAAGCACGTAGTTCCTAGCCTGAAGAAGCTTTCATCTCAAAAGCAACACGCAACCCCAGTAAAAGCATGTACCAAACAGATTTGCACTCCAAACTTTGCAGTTACTAGTTCCCAGTTGGTTTCAGGCTTTTTCAAAATATTGAAAGCATATCAATATTTTGTATCTATCCGATTGCTTAACATCTGAATGATCCTGTATTCAATTTAACTGAAGCCTGTTATTGTCTATGGAGAAGGGTAACATTTTGCTAGCAAACATGTTTGGAACTTAAACACAAAAGCAATGGTCTTGATAGATCAATTTGGACTCCAGTTGATTTAACATGTTAGCTGATCAATAAGTCGAAATATTGATAGCTCGGGTTGGGTGCTGCGATGCCGGTTTGGTCGGAATTCTCTGCCGGAAAGCATATTCGCAGTGGGAGCGTTTCGAAGCATTTTACTACCCAAAGCGTCTGTTTGTCTGGGACTGACGCTTGGCACTTGTGCGTCGCGCATACCTAACTGTTAGTTCTAATATGCCCTTAGTTTAGAAATTGGTGAATTTAGGATACGGATCGGCTTTTGTACTAGTGTACATGCAGGTTACTTGAGAATAATGTCATTGTTACCCATACTGACACAATATCAGATAAACTTATGAAGATGTTTATTAACTTTTTAAGTGCTACATTCCCACTTCAAAACACTCAGGAAGATCTCATTTCAATGGTGGATGCGCGGGAGTTACTCCTTCATTTTGAAGTTCCACTTGACGAGGAGCTTACTGAACAAATTTTTGACCTGGTCATGGTTGAAGCACCTGACAAAATTATGGAAAATGCAATGAAAAAGGCTGAGACCTCCAGGCTGGAGAATCAGATCGTTTTCAAATCGCGTTCTAATGAGGATGCTTTCCGATGGGCTGTGGATTGGCGCCTCCTAGCCGCGTTCTTAGATTGGAAAAGAAATCCAATTGAAAGAGAAAGACTACGTGAATGTGGTTGTCAAGAAACTTTGAACGCCAAATCGGATAAAAATGAAGGTTAGCATTTCTTTTTATTCATTACTTGTTTGGCAAAAATACACCAAGTCTATATTTTGGCCACTGGGTAAATTAACCATTGTGTTACACTGTTTCGTAACTGACATGCATTGTTTACTATTTGTAGAATGACGATCTCTAAGTGCATAAACTAGAATTGCGGCTAAGTTTTTCTCCTTCCACTTATGCTACTAAAATTGAAAACATCCGAACCTTTATTCTTGTCGCCAACTTTGGTGTCTTACACATCGGGTTTCAGCTTCAAGGTGTAATTCAAATCTCATTGTTTTCGACTACAACATTGCTAGGCTGCTCAAACAGAACAGACTGCATCAGTGCTAACAAGTGCGAAGATATTCTGAAGTGCAGTACAAAGAGCTTGGCACTCTGGTTTCCCATCTAGAGCAATGACTGCCGGATCGCATGTGGTCATTACAAATCGACGGAGAAAAGCGGCAGCGAATGAAAAACTCGTTTCCGTGTATACTGCTCATAGGAAACAAATAATCGCTACCTGGGCAAAATCTCGTTTGGATGACTAGTAATAAACTGTCATTTAATTCATAACAAAACTGTATTCAGGTGTTCAAAGGTTAAGCTTAATTAACAAATTCAAGTGTGCTGCGGCAAATTGAGAAAACCTTGTCATGGGGGCTGTAAATCTGCGAAGTCATTTGCCGTTTTCTCTTGATTAAAACGAAAAATTATGGAAACCTCCTCGCGCATAAAAGCGAAATCTCTACGAGATAGTTTAAACAGATGGATGCTTAGTCTATGTCACTATTTTCCTAGAGGCTGCTGCCTTGCAGGTTCAGATCCAGAATATTACATATATATTCATAACGTAGTATGGGCATAGCTATATATGCTTATATGCGGAAGTTAAACGATGAGGATACGTATGTTGAAAATGTGAAAGGAGGAAAGTGGAATTGTATTTTATCCGAAAGTTGCTTAATATTCCATTGCTCATGCTCCATACACTAGAAACTGCAGAACCTATATACTTACCTCATGCGACATAATATTTCAATGAAACAAGTCTGATTTGGGACATAGGAGTAGTGGAGAAGACAGCAAATATGGGAAGTAACAAACCTCTAAACACACATTCCATTTTCTAAAATATACTGTGCGAAACTAAGAAATATAAAATAGTGGCAGAAGATATTGCGCTGCGGTTGCTTTCGCTTTGCGGTAATTTGTACCGAAACGAGACACCTGGGATGCAAATGACAAATCCTGAAGGAAGTAATAGTAGAGTGTGGAAGATCGGTTGGCATTTCCTTTTAGTTACCATGTCAACGTATCATCATGCTCAAATGAATAGCTCCCAATCTGCACTGCAACCGGTTTCGACCATAATGGTATGGCAATTTATGGAGCATGATCTAGTCGTTCGAATCGCAATGTGATACCTTATTGTGGTCACACTTAACGAAGCAAGTGGCTCGGACAGGCTACGCGCGCAGCTTAAAAATTGTGGGCCACTGTCTTCTACTTTCTGTCCAAACCAGACTATTTTAAGTGATTCCCCAGTCCCATCCACATCGTACAATTTTTATTGTCTTTTTTAACACTTGCACTATTGTTCTTTTTTCCAGCTTCATTATTACCACTTATACCTATTCCTACTTAGACTTGTCTAGAACTTATTAATTTCATCCAGCAAGCGTCACTGTTGACAAGTTAACGTTTATTCTAGGTCACATTTAAGCTGTGGCATTTAGAAGCGTGCGATTCCTCTTAAACTGGCTTCCTAGTGGCCAGTTGGAACTAGCTCAAGTCTGAAATAACTGTACCAGCAACTTTTCGTACATTGCTTTTCTGCCAACTTTCTCCTCGTCGAGTACATTGCGACAGTTACAAACAGGCTTCTTCATATACGCTTTTTCTTTATTATCTACTTAAAAATCTCCTAGCAGAGGTCTACGATGTTAGCTAAACACATAAGTTTTAGTACTTTGTTTCATTCTGGCTGCCAAGCTCACAATAAGTGGAAAGACGAATATAACGAAAGTTGGTCCAGATAATCCTGTTGGATTCAGTTAGGATAAGTTGAATCGAATAAGCATAAAACTGTCTTCCTACGCTTATATCACAACACTACAGTAAATCTGAGCTGCTGTCACCTCTTATGACGGCTCTAACTCAAGACACATTGATCATATTAATAAGTCACCTAAAATCAATCAGTGCTTCTGCTATCAGCGGAAATTTTCAAAGGGATTCGGTGTTCGAAGAATGCAACTGCCTTCAACATATTGGATAAATTCTCAATTAGATCGGTAAAAAATACCTTGCTCAATGCAATCAATATAAAAAAAACTGTGCGGGTTTTTGTGCAGGTTCGTCGCAGTTAGACTCAAACAGACAGGTACTACACATCCAGGAAAAAGCTAGACGGCCGTGCGCATCCGCTAGATCCTGCCGAAATCGAACCCACGACCTTACTCTTGCGAGTCAGCGAGCTATGCCAATGAGCCATGGTCGACGGCATCGGACCGCCATGTTTGATGTGTGACTGCCATATAGCGCGGCACCTCCTCCTCTGTCATACATCTTATGAACCTGCAGATGACAGCGCTGGCCCTCAGAGCAACGACTTCCTTTGCAAGCCGCCAGCAAACGAGGTGGTATGTAAACTACTCAGGCGACTAATTATTAGTAAGTGGTAGGTAAATTTGTTGGATGCGCGATACTGACGAGTCCCAATGGGACGAAATGGCAGGCTAGCATTTTCCTGGATGTGTGGTGTCGGTTTGTGTGAGTCTAACTGCGACGAAGCTTTACAAAAACCCACTAAATGTTCCTACTACTCATAACTAATTAGTAGTCGCCTGAGCAGCTTACATACTATTTAGTTTGGCGGCGGCTTGCAAAGGAAGTCGTTGCACTGCGGGCCAGCTCTGTTTTCTGCACGTTCATATTGTGCGTGATAGTAGGCAATAAATCGCGCTCTATCGCATTTAAATATCAAACATGGCGGTCCGGTGCCGTCGCCCATGGCTCAGTGGCATAGGTCGCTTACTTGCAAGAGTAAGGTCGTGGGTTGGAACCTGGCAGATTTCAGCGGATGCTCACAACTGACGAGTCCCATTAGGACGAAACTTCCGTCTAGCCCTTTCCTGGATGTGTGGTAGCTGCGTCTAACTGCAACGAATCTTTACAAAATCCTAATAAATTCCCCCTGCTACTTGCACATTTTGCAGGTGTCTAAGATTTCGAAAAATGTTCAGCACCACAGTCGTCTCGTAATCTTTCAATTTAACACCGCACTGACAGCGACTGACTCTGTTAAATATCATGATCAGATCACCCTCAAAACACTTAAGGCTGTGATAGACGGAAAGCTGCTTCAAAGGAAATCTGTTGGAGTGCGGTGCAATTTTCCCCAACTAAAAAACAAAAGTCCTCCTTTGATTTGGCAACTATGAACCCTACGGCCAGTGATACTTCACCACAGCTCCGTATTAGCTGAGTGGCAACATGCAGCCCTCAAAATAAAACCAGTCAAAACATCTTGCTTGCAGATAGACCGTTTCCTACTCTCAATGACTCAAGTACTAGCCTATATGGTTCGGAAACCGCATCACTGAATAAAGTACCACAAAAGGCTGCTCCGAAAAATACCGCACATTTTAATTCCACGGCATCGTCAAAACCAAAACGCAAAGCAGTGAATTAGTGGCTTTACACGAGCTCAACGCGGGTAGTTTATGCAAGGACTGATGTAACATTTGCCGAAGTGCCTGCAGTTTGTGTTGATTCATTTACATCGGGCTCCCCGACCGCTGATCGTGATATTGCCCACCCTTACAGCCAGCCAGACAATGGGGCATGTATGCACGCATACTCATTCATCTCAGTCGACGTAGCAGCTAATCCAAAACATTTTGCCGTCAAAAACCAGCAAGCTTCAGAAGCTATATTTGAGGACACAAATGGCTCCGACCCTCATGCTTCTCAACCGTTTGTTGCCCATGTTGAAGGGTCACATCCTGGCCATAAACCTAGCTCGTATGTACAAGCTAATAAGCTCAATGGAGCTAAAGCCTAAATATCTTATGAAAATACACAAGCTAAAACTACAGCAGATCCAAAGATCCTGAACCAATGATTACGAATAAATGGTCTACTAGTACAGAGAAAATCGACCGACCACCCAGCATTGTCATGTCACGGACACAGTTGAAATGATTCTAGCTATAACAATAGCTACAGATGCAATGGTGCTTTTATTTACGCAAGAAATGTTACTTTAGTACACCTTCCACCAGCTACATCATGACCACCTCCCATAAACTATTCATTTGAGTCGAGCGTCCCACTGAAAGATCCCGACAGACTAATTCTACAGCCAAGTCCAAGCGCTCCAAACAATTATTAGGTCATTCGGCGGAAAGTGTGCCGTCGACGATAGAGACACCATCGCATCAGAGCATCACCTGTTTCATTTTCCAAGTTATCCCGTTAATCCAGCGGAATGCGAGTGTACTGAATGTCCAGCAATCACTCCCACCGATATGGCTTCTTTCTCTAGCTTCAAAGCTTTTAAAATCCCATATTTAAACAAACCATGGATTCATCTAACTTACACCAATGTATTAGCATGTTTCTAATTAATGGCTGTTCCCTCAACAATAAACTTCATTTCATTCGCTAAACTATATATCTCTCATGGAATCGTGGCTTAACAATCAGGCGCATGAGTCCTAATATCCGATTTTAAGATTCATTAACTAGTCAAGCGGTCTTCGCAGTGGCAGTGGATGGATTCCATCATTTATATTGTTAAAATGATCCACCCGTCGTAGTTAACTTAATCAAAGCTTGCTAACTTCACTGATTCAGCAGTGATAAATCATTACAACTTCCGGATTGGATGTGTTCACAATCCGACACGGGAAACAACATCAATATTAGACGGCGAACTGAAATAGTTGACATCTCGAAGAACCCACACAACCGTAACTTAGTTGTAGGCAACTTCGATATGG